AGTTTTGTGTGAGCATGAAGGGGAATTTACCCCAGCCCACACCCAGAGGTCATGGAGAACTCACGGAGTACCCGGAATTGTCCAAAAGCTTCAACACTCAGATAATCCTCCTTGATGATGTGGAGGGTGTAGACTCCTGAGTCCTGCAGGGTGAGGTTTTTGAACAGCAGGGATCCGTTGTGGTATATTGTCTCTCGGTTGCTGTATGCAGGCCCGTGAGTGGCAGTGCTAGTTTCTACCACATATGATGCAATCTCTTTGGTGGACTCAGACCTGTCACCTTTAAACCACTTATAGACTCTATTGTTCTCTGGCAAATTCTTGGCAAGTAGAAGAACATCTCCCCCTTCAGCAGCATAGAAAGGCACAGATTCAATGGTAACCTGAGCAGCGGTGGGTGGGGTCCAGGAGGTTAAAAGTGAGGCTGGGAGGGAGAGAGACAGAGAGAAATTCATTAATGCCAGGAAAAAAAGAAAAAATATATTGCATGGCCATGTTTTCCTTGCTTACTGTTAATAGTGTGTGTGTGCGTGTGTGTGTGTGTGTGTCTGTGTGTGTGTCTGTGTGTGTGTGTGTGTCTGTGTCTGTGTCTGTGTGTGTGTCTGTGTCTGTGTCTGCCTGTGTCTGTGTGTGTGTGACAACGCTGAGGTCAGCAGCAGCACCCCATTCCTTCATGGCCCCTGAACCTGTCGTTCCCTGTTTGGAGCCATCTTCCTGGGTGTCTGCGCAGTCTCTGCTAGCTGCCCTCAGGTCCTGCTCTCATTCAGGGCAGACTAGGCAGAAGCATTCCCTGACCCTTGTGGAACGACGTAGGCCTTCAATTCCTCTCCTTTTCCTGCTTTCTTCCCTCTGTAGCCCTTGCCAACGCCTGACTTCCGCTCTAGCTGGCCTTGCTGGTGTGTTTACCTCCCACTAGGCCCAGGTCTCTGTGAGCCCAGGCTCCTGTCAGCTCTCCTTTGGAGCCCAGGGTCAGGCACAGCTCCAGACACCTGTGGATCAACGAGCCAGCGCTCCCAATACCTAATACCCCAGTCATATTGTTCGGAGATTCACCCTGAACTTGTGAACATCAGTTCTCACAGTACTGTGGCCTGCCAGGTGTGGTGGCTGAGGCAGGAATTCCAACCCAGCCTGAACTGCATTGGGAGACCCTGTCTGAAAATTTTTTTTAAAGTTTCCTAATATTGACTAAATCATATGAGAGAAAAGTGGAGCTTTTCGTCCTCCTGTTTTAGTTCCCATCCCCTGAGGGATTCCATTCCTCTGTAATCCCCTGCCCTCAGGCTCCACACAGAAACCTCTGTCCACTCAGAGTGTTGTCCTCCAAATGGGCCTCATCAGTCACTATGTGTTCATCCTCCCTTGTCTCCCTCAGGGACTGTCCCCTCTCACCTGCAAGCAGGAGGCCCTGCCAGGGAACAAGGGCTCTGTGGGAAGTGGCTGAGCGGGGCTCCATGGTCTCTGCTGCCTGCTCTGTCCTCCCTCTGTGGAGAGCTGCTCAGCAGCTCAGCTCTGCTGTCTTTTCTCCCTCTTATTTGAGGCTCCACCCAGCCCTGGGCATGTCTCCATCACCTGACCTGGGTGGAGTCTGTCTAGGAAGACTTTCTCCTACCCTGGGCCCTGCTGTTCCTGGGTTTCCCTCTGCTCTGTATTGTTTGTGCTACCCCAGATCACAGGTTGAAGACAAGGCTGTTGGGGCCTCTGTCACCTAAGAGAAACAGGCTCACCCCCTCACTGTCCTGGCCTCGGGGCTTTCCACACCTCATGGACATCTTGAGGTTCCCAAATCCAAGGATCCTGGGGTATTTGCCATAGAAACTTAGCTGGGCACCCAGTCTTTCCCAGGTTCTTGTGTGCTCTGTGAAGGTAGAATCACCTCCAGGGGAAAGGTGACAAGAGATGGTTGTAGGAAAAGAGGGCCTGGCTCAATGTTGACTAGTGAAGGGACTTGCCCTGTATTTCTGAAATCACCAGCAGGGTCTGTGATCAGATGTCCCAGCAGGAGCTAAAGCCCTGGGTGGGCAGGATGGATATGACCCCCATTTCCTGGGGAGGAAAGAGTATGTTGGGAGAGATGAGTGCCTTTGGGCAACACTGACTTTGGGGGAGAATTCAGGGACAGCGCCTGTGTCTACATGTCTCTGCTGAGGTGTGGTCATGTCCCCCCATTGAATTGCTTGGCCTGTGTCTTCTGCCCTGCTGAGGTCTAAGTTCACCCTTCTGTTAACTCTAGGTTGATGCCAATAAGGATGGACCAAGCAGAACAGAGTGCCAGCAAGAAGTGGGTGGGAGAAGAGGGCATGCAGAGGGACTCAGAGGGCTCTGCTGTGGCCAGAGATTGAAATCCAGCAGTATGTGCTCAAAACCTAAACTAAATTCACTTTGTAGAGACTTATTTTCTTTAGTGTGGATTGTGTATTCTGATGTCGCCCCCTACAGGTCAGGAGGAGACGTACAGCAAGTGTCATGTGAAGCTTGTAGTCAATTTTCCAAGAAGAAAGAAAGGGTGAATGTCTAATTCCATTTTTCTGTATAAGATTCAAGACTGCTCTGGTTGGTATTTTTGTTAAAATCTATAGATAGACTGAGTGATTTATAAAACCCTGAGGTCACGCTATGACTCCTGGTCTGGAACTTCTGGTGTCACCTGATCACAGTCCCCATCAGGCTGCAGGGCATCAGTGAATCTCAGCCAGGGTGGCCTTTGCCCTGCAGGGACATTCGCAGTGTCTAGAGATATTGTAGATTGTCACACTGGCGGAGGGAGTGCTACTGGCACCTATTGTGGAGAATTCTCAGATGTTGCAGGAGAATCCACACAAAGCATGGGTGTCCCCACAAGGATGACCAATCTCAAAAATGAGCAGAAAAGAGTCCTGCTCTGCTGCGTATCCTGGAGTCTCTTCTCACGCTGCTCCTTCTCAACCCCCCCCCCATCACCCACATCCCTCTCTGGCACCTTCATTTGCCTCCTCTGCCCCTGCGCTTTGAGTAAAATAAGCTTCGCCTTTCCCCTCCACTGGCTCCTCTGTGCTTCTGGAAGGAGCCGTCCACTAGAGGGCGCAATGCTCTTCCCTGAGCCTCTGGGACCCCGCCCTGCCCACAGAAAAGGCAGCTGCCCAGCCCTGGTCCTCTGAAACCTTCAGGGCAAAGCCTCAGGGTCAGGCCCAGGGACCTAGAGAGCAGCTCACTGCAGGAGGTGGTGGCGGGGCTGGCAACTCAGGAGCAAGACGAGGGTGCACCTCACTGTGGCAGGGAAGGCTCTCAGCTCAGTGGTTGGACACCAGGGCCCAGAAGTCCCAGGGTGACCACTGGGGACCATAGCTGTGAGTCGCTGTCCCTAAGTCTCTCTCACTAGCACTTGTGTCTGGCCCTGGGCAGGCCTGATGCAGCCTCTCCAGGACCAGACCTTAGACAGGTGCTCCCAAGCCCAGGACCTGCAGGCACCCAGAAGGATCAGGAGCCATATGGCTGCCCCGGGGCAGCTTTTCATGGCAACCAGGTAGTGCCAGTCTCAGAAATGAATTCACTGGATGTAAACTGGGCTTTTGCTCAGGAGGTGGAGTACAGCCTGATTTCCACGCCTTTTGTAGCCAAGCCTGCCGGCTACCTCCATGCCCTGCCTACCCACAGCTGCATGCCTGAGCTCTCTGGCCTCAGAGGGGTCTTTATGCTGCCTGCTTCCTCCTGCCTTCACTCATGGGTATAACCCAGGGGCTGGGTGACCCCAGGAGAGCTAACGGCAGAGGCAGAGGCCGTGCAGGGAGGACACAGGCAGGCCTGAGCCACACTTCAGTCCAGGCACATGGAGAGCAAAGCTGGCCCTGGAAAGTTACCCCAAAGTCATGTGCCCGCACATGGCCTCAGTCCTGCCCTGTGTCTCCATCCCTGGATCTGAAGGGTCTACATTGGCAGTGCAATGAGGATTTGAAGAGGGAGGACCTGTTTGTCTTTTTAATTCATGGACAGGAAGTAAAACAACATTTCACAACAAAATAGAAGATTAACAATAGTTAATTCATGACATATTACTTTCTTTAAAGTTGTTACTCCAAGTACGCGATATGGCCATAAGAAGTTCTCCACTTGAGTTTAGCACACACCTTCCTTTTCAGTGAGCTAAGACACGCTGCTAAGGTAATCATCCTGCATGTTTTCCTTTTCCAGTCATTTCTTTCCTCTTCCCCCCACCCTGGTGCGCTTTCTCTGTAGGAGTCACTTCCAGATCCTCTTTTTGGTCGAAGAAGCCAATATTTGTAATCTCAAAGTTAGGTTTTTGGAATCCCACCAAGTTAATTCCAATCTGTCACTTACAATGCAACCCACAGTGGGATAAAAAAGACACTGAATTATATTTTGAAATATCGGGGTGTCAGTTACTCTAAGTCCAGCCACGAAGATGGCTTTCTGGAACAAAAAAAGAGAGACCCAGGGCCTCACTCAGTTTTTATTCAGTGCTGGAGTGGCTTGAGGAGGGTTGACTGAGAATTGTGGGAAGTAGGTGACTGTGAGCTGAGTTAGGTGGGTGGCCTACATTTACCTCTGCCATATGCAGAGAGGATATGCAGAGAGAGTAATCTGCATTATACTATTATGCCATTGAGATGGTATCTAATGTTTTGGGGTGTCTGGTGCTTCAGCTTTGATGTAGTCTTTCAAGCCTCAGGAAGTCATAACCTCCATCTTGAGGCTCCATCCCAGCTGGTGATTAGCTCTTTGTCCTGTCTCAACTTAACTCACATTAAAGAGCAGCAGGTATAGGTTACCAGGGAAACATGCACGCCACCTTTAAAGACTATCACCAGCACCTCAGCTAGAGCAATACACATTGCTTAGGGCCATTTGAAGGATAAACAGAAGTCCTAGCCAGCTCTGTACTTAACAATATGCGGAAAGAGGGTCAGACTCAGTCAAAATGGAGACAATTGCTCTTCTTTCAAGGAGAGCTGGTCAGGTGGTCCTCCACATTCTCTCTTCAACATTCTTCCCATTTCATACTATCTATTGTACATTTTAAACCTTATGTGCTCTTTGAGTTTCTCACATCAGAGAGACAGCATGATGCTTACACCTGTGAGTCTGATTTCTTTCCCTAATGAGCTTGGTCTCAAGTTGCATCCATTTACCTACCAAAGTATCACATTTGTCCTTCTTTGTGACTCAGTACTCCATTGTATAAAAAAGCCTCGCATTTGTGACTATTTCTCAGTGGACAGACACTTGGATTGTTTCCAAAATTCAGCTGTTACAACGTCAGCTTCTACAAACACGCGTACACACGTGACATGGTGGTGCCATGTTTTTCACTCTTCTGGGAAGATAGCGAGACAGGGAATAACTGAGTCAGCTGGGGCCTCCAATCCTAGCTTTTTGAGGCTTCTATTCCCTGATTTCCAAAGTGCTCAAAACAATCTACCCTCCCACCAACAGTGCAGAAGGGTTCCTCTTTCCCCACAGCCCCCCCCCAACATTTGTTATTGTTTGACTTCCTGACAATAGTGGTTCTTTCTGGGGTGAGCCAGAATCTCAGTATTGTTTTCATTTGCATCTCTTGAGCGAT